ATTGAAATTTTTGAACTTCAATACGGTCGTATTGAGTTTGAATACGGCAGTATTGAAGTTCAGAAATTTCAATGCGCCCGTATTGAGTTCACTGCGGGTGTATTGAAGTGTCAATACGGGCGTATTGATTTCAGTACGGCCGTATTGAAGTTTCAGAAACTTCAATACGCCGTATTGAGTTCGCTGCGGCCGTATTGAAGCTTCAATACGGCCGTATTAAGTTCAGTACGGCCGTATTGGGCTTCATTCCCTCCACTTCCTTATTTTGAGCTATTCTAAGACCTCTAGACCTACAGAGAACCCTCCTAGGGCCTTCGAGGAGTCCTTCTGGCTGATTATCCTTCAGTCTTCGAGAGTCTTCAAGCTTTATTTCCGACCCGGACAATTTTAGGGGTCTACAATTGTCTCTCTCTAAAGCACTTACTCTAAGCCTTACTTGTTAACCTGCAATAAACGAAGTGTATTCGGAATAGGGACAATACTCGAACAATAACCTAACATGCACTAAAGTTGGAGAGCATGATAAAAGAATGATAAAAAATGATTAGGGTTAATAAAATCAAATTAAGAGTATTTCAATCCCCAAATGAATGCTGCAAAAAATAAAAGCCCGATAGGAAACCCACTAAGAAAGGCTGCACAAAAAATAGGGCAAGGTTCGCTAGGAGACCGACAAGAAAAAAGGGTAACCTAGGCAAAAGTAAGGATCAAAAGAAAAACATGTTTGCTAAGTGATATGAACCTAGAGGGATGAATTCATTTTACAGATCTATCTAGGCTGGAATGCTCATAATTAAGAAATTAAAAGAAAAAAAAAATATGGATGGAGATAAGAAATGGAAGAACAATGCCACAACCCCAAAAGATTGATAAGTTGAGGAAAATTCGCAACTTTGAATTAGGAAATTCAAGGATAAGAATCAAAAGTAGTTCCTAAGAACCTAAAGAGAGAAAATCCTCTCAATTGGGAAAATATTCAAATTCTGAATAATTCATTCTCTCTGTCAAATTTTTACAAAAAGGTTCCTATTTATAAGCTTAGATGGGCAAGATGACATAAATTCCCACTAACACTTAATATCCATTAGAATTGACTCCTCACTAGCCCACTAACTAATTAAATTCCACTAAGAAGCCTAAAACACTAAATGTTGTCCTAAGTAATTGGAAAGCCATCTAACTTATTTAATAAAATTAATAAAATGAAAATTACATTAAAGAAAAAGATAATGTACTTATTTAATTATTCAGCCCCAAACTACTTAAATTTTAGCTCATTAATCCTTCTTCCTTATCATATGACTTTGGGCTTGTTAGTCTTCAATTTTACCTGACTGTATTCACATCACCCTTGGGAGGAAATAGATTATCAAATTCTTTTAAAAGAATTTTGACCCCCTTAGGTAGAGTCTCATTTCCACTAGTTGTGGCAGTGCAAGTAAGAGTCCCTCTACAAAGAAGGATAAAAGAGGGTTGTTTAATCAAGAGGTTTTGTTTTGAAATTTCCTTCTCTTGATTAACAACTTCTAGGGAGGGGACTCCTTTCTCCCTAGAATTCTCTTTATCCCTAGTTTTCACAAACTTTTTTTTTCTCTCTTTTCTTCCTTTTTTTGTATTTTCTTCTCACTTTCTCTTTTGAATTTAATTTGTGCTTGATCCTCTGCCACCTCTTGAGGAGAAAGAGGATGAAGCACAAATTTCTTTTCCTTATGGGTAAAGTTAATCTCATTAGTAAGGCCATTATGCATGGTTTTCTTATGAAATTGCCATGGCCTTCCTAGTAAGATATGACAAGCTTCCATTGGTACCACATCACATAACACTTCATCTTCATATTTTCTAATGGAAAGCTTGACCTTTACTTGTTGGTCAACTACTATATCTTCATCCTCATTAAGCCAATGTAGTTGATAAGGTTTAGGATGGGGACTAGTAGCTAAACACAACTTCTCAACCAGCCTTGTGCTACAACAGTTGCACCATGATCCACTATACACAATGAGAGAATATGCCTTGTTTGAAACATTACATCTAGTATGAAATATGTTCTCTCTTTGGGATAGGGTACCACTAGGTTAGTTGTTGAGGAGTCTCCTAATCATTAAGAGCTCCCCTTCATAAGAAAAAGTCAACTCCACATTCTCTTCTTGCCCACTTATTTCTTCCTCACTATCACTAGAGGAAGTAGTAGTCTCCTCTTGACTACTATAAGTGTCATGCCCCCTCAAGATCATGACTTTCTTTATGGGGCATTGGGAGGCAATATGGCCTCTCCCTAAATACTTAAAACATTTAATATCATTAGTCCTATAACTAGTGTGTGGAGTGATCTTTCCCTTCCCTTTATCTTTTTCTCTAGCTAGATCTTTGGAGGGTTCCAAAACTTTTTGCTTTTCAAATGATTTTCCCTTCCTCTTGTAGTCTTTCTTTAGAGATGAAGAGTTGGAGCTTTCTCTTTTAAAAGAGGATTTTCTTAACTTTTGTTGTTCTACCCTTACACAAAGTTGGACCAAGTCATTTAGGTCGCTATAGGGTAGTAGCTCCACTTGGTCTCTTATCTCTAAATTAAGACCACTCAAGAATCTAGCTACAATAGTAGCTTCTTCTTCCCTAATGCATGCCCTCATCATGTAAAGATCCATTTTTTGCCTGTACTATTCTACAGACATGTCCCTTTGTTGGAGCCTTTGGAGCTTATTCATAAGCTCCCTTCCATAGTAGGAGGGAATATGTATTCTCCTCAATGCACTCCTAAGATCATTCCAACATTTTGGAGACGCCTTTCTCTTTCTAAGGCTGTCCACCAATACATGGCATGTTCTTGAAAGCTAAGGGTAGCCAGAGGTACTTTCCTCTCTTCACTTACCTTGTGGAAAGCAAAGAGTTGCTCACTTTTCATCTCCCAATCTAAGTAAGCTTCCACATCATCCTTTCCAAAGAATTGAGAGAGA